ATACCTGCTTCGATACGATTGGCCAGTAGGACACCTGCGTCCGCAGTACGAATGCGATGCGTGGGAACGATGTCGGTGCAGAGAAATCCACTATCTGGACTCCTCCAGTAGCCAACTGCCCCTCCGCACCATGCAGGCGGCCGACTGCGACTCACACGGCTTAGTCTCATTTTCTCAGGAACCCAAATCCACGGACCCAAATCCCAAATTTCTGTTGGTACACAATATGGAACATGATGATTGCGAATGCTTCCAGCAAAGTGATGTGTTACGATAGCCGATGGGTTGTTTGGGAGGATCTACCCTGACGAAAGAGAGAGAGAGAAAGAAAGAAAGAAAGAAAGAAAGAAAGAAAGAAAGAAAGAAAGAAAGAAAGAAAGAAAGAAAGAAAGAAAGAAAGAAAGCGTCCAATCAGCGCCGTGACAACCAGTTGGGTGTACGTACAAGCGATTAGTACAAGCTTGTGGCACCGACATCCGTAAATTTTGCTTCGAAGTGTGCTGCCGGTCGTCGTTCGCTCGATTTTGACCGCTACAAATCGAGCGAACGACGACCGGCAGCACAAGTTGCACGAACTGATAGGCTGAAAAGGCTTGTTATCGCCTCTACCTTGCGGACCGCGTTGCCCAGTGCATCCTTGCCATACAAATTCACAGCTTCTGCTATTTCGGCACCGGCAGTGTCACCTCCAGCGCATCCCAGAATCCACAGCTACCATCACCGCAAGCTGCCATCGCGCGCTGACGATGTTCACGCTGATATGCGCTTTAAAAAAAGTCTGAATCTGTAGCCCTGATGATGCACTTCCACGATGTGCAAGCATTTTCCCACCGCTTCGATATCTCTTTATTCACCTGTGGTACAACGTACCTCGTATTATTACGAGGGTTGGTAGTTATGTTCTGTCGTTCGTATATTAGTTATGAAAGTAAAAATATGAAATAATTTTTAAAAAGTAGAGCATATCATAACTGTAATAGTAGGTTAATGGCCGAGTCAATGACCGCTCTCGGTGGCAGTCAGCGTGAGTAAGAGCACGACTCACTCGCACCAAATTTAATTCACAATTAAAAATGGCGCATTTATGCCCGAACTCAGGTGGGAGCTATTTCACATTAAATTTTTTTTAAAAAGCGGAATGCAACCCAGTAACTATCTGAAGCGCCTGTTATGTTGGGGACTAAATATTCTTATGCGTAAGCCACTTAGCGGGTGTTTTGTCGTTTTTATCCTGGAAATTTAACGAGGAATGGCGCCAGGAGATCGGAACAGTCGGTTTATTGAGGAACCTAAAACAGCACGCCATCCTCTTGCGTTCTGCAGACACCAGTCCCCAAATGTGTTTGTCTGGTAGATAGATAATGAAGTGTAGGCCAGAGCCCCAGTAACGGATTCTATATTGCGCGTTGATTGGATTTTCTGCAAGGCCGCGTACCGTCGGGCCCCTCTTTTGTTGACTAGTGGTTACTTTTGTTTTTGCATTTAATGTTCCTTAGCAAAGCCGAACTTCTTTGATTTAGCCATCATTTCTCAGTCTACACTCATGACAGATCCTGGTTTCCTTACCACGATATTTAGTGGAAGCAACAGAACAGAATAGGATTTTGTGAATAGAGTGTGAGGCCAAGAGCCACAAAGCACCCCGAGAAACGTTTATCTTGGTGCGCCTCGCAGCTGTGCAATTATTTAGAAAAGCCTTTTCGGTCGTGAAATAACTATCAACCGTATACAGTAATCTGCAAATACCTTGACAACTTTCTTTGAGAAAACGCGAAAAAATGGAGGCGGGAGTTGGTCGACTGGTGTAATTGGCACCACGACGGACCCAAACCAAAAGCCTCTTTAATAATAAAAAATTTATTTTGCTTAATCTATAGTTTGAATATTCCTGTAACCTAAATACTCGATAAGCTTGATCCTGCACAGGTTCAAAATTTTTCCGAATTGGAAAGATTCGTTGCAGAGAAACGAAATAACAAAAAATAAGAAATTTAAACGAAATTTTCAAGGTGCCATCGTTCAAAAAATTTATAACTTTTTTTGTACCATACTTACAAATCTGGCAACAGATGAAAACGATGCCTTAGAAGTTTAGTAATAGTAATATGAAAATAATATAATAATTGCATGAATCCAGAAATAAATAAAACTAATACGACATAACATAACTACCAACCCTCGTAGATAATCAAAAAAAAAACATCACACTTTTACAACCGCTTCCTGGTTATTAGTGCCTTTTCCCTGATAATGACAGAGCCGCTTCTGCTGCAAAACTGACATGCTCGTAGCACGAAAAAAAATTCTGGAGATGCAAACCGCGGTAACAAGTGGCGCATGAACGGGTTACAACATTTACAATGTACAACTGGAGAAGTTGTCGTGCCTCCCAGTCACCACTTCTCGCGGTTGTGCGCCGACGGACGCGGATCCGTGGAGTGCAGCGCGCACAGTGCCTACCAAAGCCTCGATTGGCAAAGCATAACCAGCGCAACGCTGTCGCATGTTCCGTGCCGACGACGGTTGTCGCTTCATTCTCTTCGCGGAATCTCCGCCCACCATCAAACAATGGAATAACTGGCGCGAAATCTTGCCCAGTGGGATGAGTGGATTCACGCTGTATTCGTGCACGGCGCCGATCACAGTTGCGCTACGGGCGCGTAGTTAACGTGACCGAGGATGGACTCTTCGTCGACCTGCTCGGGCCCATCGACGACGGGAATATGTTTTATATGGATTGAAATAAAATGAAACCGTTTTCCAGAATCGGGATGAAAAAGTTCGTATACTGTAGCCGCTAAATGAAGGTACAACACTTTCAAGATACCGCAACTGCCTGAGCTTCCTGACTTACCTTAACAAACATCGTAGCTGTAGTTTGCTGTATGGCATAAAACGAAACAGCCGTTTTTGCACTTGAAAAATTTATTTATACTTTATTTATGTCTTGCTGTTTCTTTTCTGACGAGGTCAGTCTTTCGCCTGTTTATATAAACCATGAAACCATGATGTGCTTGCACACCGGGCTTCTGTGGATGCTATTCTGGTTATAAAATTAATAAATCTACCACCCACTGTTTTTTTATATATACACAGTTCCTAGAAGTATTGCAAAAGTGCACTGAAGTGCGAGCACTCTAGTAATGCCGCTAAACAGACCTTTACTGTTTCACAGCGCACTTTGTTGGCAACTTGGCGAAGCTGGCGTTGCATACAGGCCACCGTGACTTCTTTTAAGCTGTTAATTGCAATAAATTCTTCCATTTTATTTGACCAACAAATTCTATTTTTTCAATATCCCTCCCTATTTTTGACCCTGACCCCGACGACAGTACAATGAACACTGGACGATTTTCTATATCAGTTTTCTCCACAGCCAGTCGAATGCCCAACTCGTATACATTTTGAAAAATTGGTCACCGGCCTGTTATTGGCAATCATTACATCAGCTTTCAGCTCAGCTCTATCTGTATCCTTCCACTCTATTTTGCAACCGGATATGGCTGAACTTTCATCGAACACTAATTACAACTGCGATCAGCAGTTAATCATGTACTTAATACATCGCACGAGGGGCCGCAACAACGGATTGTTTTACTGTCTAAGCGCTATTCTTCTTAAAAGAAGCACGGATGTAAAAATCCTGGTGGACCATCTGCTAGATTTGAACACGCATCTCCACAGCAAAAGCGATTAAGAGGGGCTTTTTTGGCCGTATTCACCGTGACTTCCAGCAATTGCTGATAGTCTCGGCAAAAAGGTACATTCTCCCAACCATAATTTCAGTGTGCAGTAAACTTTGTTTGCGATTTCAGGAAGTACTCTTTAGTGGCTACAGTTCGGAGCCGACTGTCGCATTGATAATATAAACGGTATTATTGTAGTGTTAGTCTGGTTTATTTAATACCGTATCCACGAAGATCGCTGATTCAAGGAAGCTCATAATGAATTCTGCACTACTTAAGCAGCCTATCAGCGCCAGTACTGGAAGACGCCCGATTCATCCAGTAGATTTCGAAGAAACGACGGTTCGCTCCATCGAGGCCAGGTTGTCCATTGCACGGAAGAAGGGATTTTGGTTGACGCGCAGACGGGCAAAGGACCTGGATCAATGCGCCTGATTCCATATGGAAAGGTCTATGTCTGCGAAAGAAGATCTCGACCAGAACTGATAAGGAGGATGAGAGAACGTAAGACCGACAAATGACATAATTATTCGAATCGTTTCTGTGTCTGTCGCACAGTACTGTAGCGTACTGCGAAGAATCGGATTTCGAATTGCGAATATAACCGAGTTCTCTCCGGTAACTCGGTAAACATAGCGGACAATTAATGAGCTGAATTACAGTGCATTTTAATTGACAAGTTGAAATACGTTGCACCCATTTTCAGCAACCACTTAAGCGAAGTGGCCCGGTCCATTGTGCCAAATTTGGGTACATACACGAAACTTCCCATTCCGCGCACTCCCAAACACTTTTTTGTATCGTTTTGCTGCATTCTGTAGCCAAATGATCTATATTAATTCATAGTTTGAAATTCATTTTAAAATTTGAAAAATATCAGGGAAGCCTGGTTCCGTGTTAAAGCAATCTTTATGCTTATGTGCCTTTTTCTGCAAAATTTGAAACAGATTGGTTCACAATGAAACTTTTGGTGCTCCTTCTTGCATCTTCCATAACCGCCCAACCGGATGTTGCGCTCGTAAACGGTTTTCACGCCAACGTAGACCAATCATTTGACTACAGGATGCAACACTACGATGCACAAAACTTTTTGAAGTGCGCGGAAGTGGAAGTTTTCGTGTATATCCCCCAATTGGGCATCATGTACCGGGACACTCCTTGAATGAGGAGAGATCACGCCAGCCGTGTTATCTTGGTATTTCCCTCGTTTCTGCCTGGTTTGGCTACCAGGTGTAACCGGACTATCATTCAAACACAGTGAAAGCACGCTGTGTGCGTTGCACAGGAGTGCGAACGAAACGAAACGGCTGCCAAACAGATCGTTTATTAAAATGGAATTTTAATAAAGGCAATGAAGCCCGACAAATCTAAATCATCCGCAGGATGATATCAAAACCCCAGATGGGAGCAAAAGGAAGAACAGAATCGACCAGTCAAGATATTCTTGGCTGGGAGAAGGCAAAATCCGAAGTGAGGCCGTACATTTTAATGTACGGTCGAATCGGCAAAAAACAGACCGGAGAGACGGTGCGATATCCACGCAGCCCCACTATCCTGGGCGGTGGCACCGATCTCCTGACATGCCACGGGACGGAACTCCGAGCTCCCGCGAGGACACAGCAAACAAAAACAAACACCAAAATAATGAGCAAAATGCGACCGAGTACAACTTGCGGCGCATATACTAGGTTAAAAAAATCACAAAAATTTGGCGAATTTGATGAGATCCATTCCATAATGAATTCAGCTTGGAGAATGACTTGTCCTCCATAACAGCATTTCGGCAGCATCGCTCACGCATCATTCAGCATGTCGGTGTCAGCGTCGACGGCAGCAGGATCGGAAATACAATCGGCTATAGCGGCTCCGGCGACTGCATACAAAGCATCGCCCAGTATCTGAGACACTGGTTGCACAGATTGTGCCGACACGTTTTCCATTGTATCGTGAAATATTTCGGTATCTTCCTCACCTTGCGGTGGCGGCAATCGAATGAACGGCTGTTCAGTATTGTCGGCGTCATCCAGATACTCATCTAGATAATCGGAACGGTATCGGCGAAAGAACGCAAGTTGGTCTTTATTCATTTCAGACTCCCTCATCTTGCGTAAATACGCGATCGTATTCCGCTTATAGTCATCGGAATTCGGTTCGGCCTCATTTTCAAACGACTTCGTCGTCTTATAAAATTCAAACTCGGCGTCGGACATACGAGAAATTGGTAATTTCACCAAATAGCTCTCGACGAGAATATCCTTCGTCTTCGGCTCTGTGCTAACAGATTTAGCTCTGTTAACTGTTCGTTGCGGCAGTGCAGCGTTAACAGGCTGCGTTTCGGCGGAAATCGACAATATAACATTTGCTGGTTGTTCATTCGCAACAATCGGCTGTTGTTCAACAAGAACAGTTGAAATCGGCGGCACGGGCGCAGGCACAGCTGGCAACTGCTGCTGTTGTGACTTCCCTGCAACACCCGATTTATTAGCGGCTTTATTGCCATTATTACTCGGCGGTCGTGAAACATTCTTATTCTTATTCGGCTCGGTACTCGTACCTGTGGATTTAACCGTAGTCATATCCAGCAACGACGGAGCGGATTTGAACTTCGCCAATGGCAGATTCGGCTTCACTTGTGGAATTATAATCGGCTGTGTAATGGGAGGAATCGGCTTAACGGGCTGTTTTCCGCCCATCACTCCCAACTGCGGCGTCGCGGAATCTCCCGACTGATTTTTCCGAATATTTCGGAACTTCGGCTCCGGCTGTACGGTTTTGCTTCCCGTAGGAGCATCCGGCGAATCGGGCAAAGGGCGCTTTTTGTACAGCTGGCCCTTGTCGAACTGCGTCTTACGATCACCGTATCGTTTCATACGGATATTAACATCATCGTAAAACTGGTCGGCTTCGTCAGTGTCCATTTCAACATGACCGGCAGCAGCCAGAGTGTCTTTCAACACCTGCGCTTCCTGCTGTTCGGTGAGCGGCTTCCCTAGCATTTCGATCAAGTCCTTTAACAGGGCATATTCGGCTCGTTCCTTACTTTGGTAGATCGCCTTATGGGCGCTATGACTACCAAGTAGTGCGGCTTTGATACTCATAGCGGCGAATTTTAATCCCGTATTGTAGGGAATCGGCGTCCAATCGATATTGCGCTCATTTAATTCTTGGTTTAAATAATGAGCGACTTTGCAGAAGAAGAAAAACTTCGCAGGATCGGCTTGTGGCAGTATATACTGCATAAAAAATTTTTCAGTTACCGGATCTCCATAAATTTTGAATTGAGAAATAATCTCAATATCGACGGCGGTGATCGGCGTGTACAAGTGCTTCTTATCTAACACTGTACGGAGATTATTACGGTGGCTCGACGCGTACGTAAGTACTTCCAACGAACGCGACAAGTCGACAGTGGAGTAATCAAACTCCATCATCGGGTCTTTTAGTCCTATCTTCCCCAGAAATGCCACGGCATTCTGGATCATCTTCTTTAAACATAACATTTCCGGCGCATTTGTCTTCGCTATATCAGCGACGGTAGCTAACTTGTGTATATAAATACCCAAGTCGCTGGTATACTAAGTTACATCGCGTAGGATCCTATTAGGATCGATGGTCGGCTGTCGTGGTCGTCGAACACCACGATTATCGCGGGAATTAGTTTCACGCGGCGGCGGTTGCTGAGATTCAGCCGGCTGATTAACATTCTGCGGTTTATTCGGCTCATTACGCTGCTGTTAGCTAGCAGAACGGATATTCGGCTGGTTTGCGCGCTGTCTGCCACGACTCTGCAAATCAGCGGACAATTTAGGTTCATATTTCGACAAATCTCTCCCGGCAACTACTATATTCTTGCCCGAGTGGGAGTGGTTTTCAGACGGCTCCAAGGTATACTCGATACGGTGTCGAGCACCAAATACTGATCGGCTACTGTCGCTAGACGACGGTTCCCTAATCGACGTATTAGAGTCGTCAATTGACAAACTACCTACTTGCTTCGACAGTCCGACACGCGCGTCTGGTTTCACACGCGACGTACTGGGCTGCACTTCGGCTGGACGCTGCTGTGATGCAGCACGGCTTGGATACTGCTGTGGTGCAGTATTTCCCGGATACCCACGCTCCCTCAGCCAGGGATCAGAAGTCTCTGCACTATCGACACTGTTCGGCGCCTGCTGTAAAGGTAGTTTATTATACGGCTGTATACACAACTTACAGGTAGGAATTATAAACTTATCTACCTGCTCGCTCTGCTAACGATATTGTTGATATTGCGGCTGATTGAAAGCGGCTTCGGCTTGCTGCTGATATTGCGCATATTGCGCCGGCTGATACTGTGTCGACTGGTACTGCTGGTAGTACTGCATCTGCTGAAGCGGCGACATGGGATTCATAGCATGTCCCTGCGACATAGTTAAATTAAGAACGTCAATTTTCCACTGACTGGGATTATTATCGGAACGATTTAAAGGAACACATTCCCAAGTACTTAGGGGACAAGTCTCAGAATCAGAGTCGGAACTAATTACCTGATTTATCGGCGTCTGCACTTGTGCAGGGTAGCTGATGGGCAAGTGCATTTGTGCAACATAATTGTTCGGCGGTGTGATCTGCTGAATCGGCTGATCCACTGGTTCTGGCATATCTCGCCATGGATCCCGCGGACCGGCTGTCGAAATAAATCGGCGGACTGCGTCATTCATGCGCGTCCGCAACCACGGCTTCGCCTGTAAGGCCGGCTCAAACTGCGCTTCCGTCACGGTGATGTATGCGTCCAGATTACGGGACAGCACCTCATTCACCAACCGTGGAACGACAATGTTCGGATCCAGCTGGTACAAATTCTGTCCCAGCAGGCATTCGGCGCATTTCCGGCTACTGGTGTTGCTTTCGCAACGATGACACGGCTCCATATTATCTACTTGATTATACCGGTTAATTAACCATAATTATTCAACGCTAATTTGCCTTGTTTATTAATCGGCTATTTAACATTAATCGACTATTTAACCTATTTTTTATTCGGTTAATCGGCATTTTATCGATTAATTAGAGCGACTACGTACGGACCACAATTTAGTGGGGGAATAATAACGGCTTATTAAATTAACTAACTATCCTAATTGATAATTAATTATCGGTTATTTTTACGAGAGTAATATCGACAGTTGATCGGCTTTTAATTTTAACAATAAATTATCGGCGTGACGGGCCGGGTGCATCTGCTGGGTTTATTCGCCCAGTTATGCCCCGTTCCGGATCATTAACGGAAATTATACGCGGGTTGAACACCAACTCAGATACGGCTAATTCGACATAATGGTCGACACGATTTCCCATTTCAGGACGAACCGTGCGAATATACTGCACAATTTCGTCGACTGTCGATCCCAATGGATCATTAATTTCGGCTATTGTACGGATAACTACCTCTTGCCATTGAGTGGCATCAAATAGCGGATAGTCTTGCAAAAAGGACACGTTCGGCGCTACAGTATAATATGCCATTAATTGGCGATGATTAAACTGACGTAAAAGTCGGCCTTGTTCCCATTCGCGATTAAGCGAAACTGCTACGGCTTGTGCACTATACCGATGCCTTAACGTATCGGGAATTCTGCCTAATAGCGGCTGTTGTCGAGATCTTAAGATCTGTCCTATAGCGTCTGCCAGAATGGCGTGTGTCGGTTCTGGAGGCGGCGGCGGTTGTCGAATGACCGTAACGTTCTTGCGTTTCTTATCCGGCGGTGGTAGACCCAAGTCTCTCACTGGGACGCCACTGACGGCACTCAACCGCGTACGGTTTGTATCAGCTAACGCATAACGCGGCACATTTAATCCGGTAATTTCCACAATTATTTCCCTACGGACTAACTCGTGAACAGCTTCCAAAATCATAGGAAACTGTTGTGCGGCGGCGACAAGTCGCATCGGCATAGTTAGCGTAATATAATTCGCTATTTCGGCGACAGACGAACCAAGTCTGTTATGAATATCGTGAATAGCGATAGTAACGGCTTCTCTAAAACTTTCCGGCGTACTGATGACCATACGCTCGTACCAACGACGGCGTAGATCTGTCGGCGAATACATAATGGTACTTGACCAATGCAAGTACACTTCTTACATTTCACCCCGATTAGCGGCACCTTGAATGGCTAATCGGAAGCGTTTACGACTTGCGTTATAATTCACCCGCCCCTTATAAAATTGAAATTTGAAGGTGAATGAAGCGGCTCTTTCCTTATTTTTCAGCTCTTTAAAAGCTGCTAATGCGGCATCGAGCATAACGGGTAGCTCTTCTGCAGGTGGGTCCTGCTCGAACGGAAGAGACGCACTAGACGGCGAAGACTCTTCTGATTTATTCGGCGATTTCTTCGGCGATTTACTCGATTTGTCAGACAGTTTATCTGGCGACGGCTTATCAATTCATGTAACGGATCATGATCGATAATGGTTACTGGATCGGTTTGGGCAGAACGAGAAACTCGAACTGTCTGTATTTCGACCGGCCCATCATCTGATTGGGCATGTGCCACAACGTTCAGACGGACTGTATTCGGCGGCGTTCGCGGCGTTATGGTACTACCTGATCCCGACGGACGCTGCGGCTGACGTTGGCCTTGGCCTTCCATTCCGACTTTGCCTACAACACAGTAAGCCCGGTTAATTGTACGGCATATTAATTACATGAATAATTCGAAAATTAATTCAGTAATTAATCGGCACGGCTAATCACTAATAATTGCAAGATTAATAGTGAAAGATCTCCAGATTGGAGCGGCTAATTTGAATCGGCAAGAGGTATGGACCACTACGGTAGAAACTAGTGGGGATTTAGTTCGGCAGGAGGTAAAAACCTCACGATAGTGGGGATATAGTCGACAGTTACCGTACATGTACGTATCCGTTTTTGTTACGGCGCACATGTAGCTTAAGTTTAATCGGCTTCTTTTTATTATTTTTACGGCTAATATCTTCGGCAACCGCACTTTCGGGTTCCCACTGATCATCGTCATTGACGGAGTCGGCATTATTTTCGACAGTATCGTTTATAACTTCAACAGCTTCTGCGGTATCGGCTGGTATGAACGGCTCAGCGTTCACATTTAAGCCATTTTCGGCAGATTTCGGCAGGGAGATCGTACTAGTTATTCCTTTACGATTCTCTTCGGTAGTATTATAACGCTTGAGGCGCTCGCAATTCACGATGCGAGTTTCTTCCGGCTTATCTTTATTTTCAATTTCGACGGCATTGGTATACGGGAAACCAGAAACTTCCCATCTACCTCCGAATTTTTCTCGGAAAGATTCGGTTTCACCTTTTTTCTTCTCTCGCTTTAGGAGAACTAGTTCGCCGATCTGATAATCGTCTTCTCGACGTTTTTTAATAAAACGTTCGGCCGTTTTAATAAATTCTTCTCGCATATAAATTTCGGCTAACTCATGCGCTCGCGCCAAATTATGGCGAAATTCTTCCATATATTCGGCTATCGACGCATGTTCGACTGGTACATTGGTCTTAGTGACCGTATCGGCTGGTATAACTTGCTCACGCCCGTACAGCATATAGTACGGCGACATGTGAGTAGTTGCATTTTGCACTCGGTTTTTAGCGGCTATAACAAACGGGAGAATGGTATCCCAATTCTTTTCCCGTCCGTCGGCGGCGTACATTGCCAACGAATCGGCAATAGTTTGCATTTGACGTTCGACTAGGCCTCTACCAATAGGGTGGTAGGCGGCACCAAAATGATGCTGTATCTTTAAGCGATGGTTGATCGCTTTCAGAAGCTTATTGTGGAAATGAGTTCCACGATCGGTATTTAAGATATGCGGCGTGCCATAGGGCAAAAATACGTCGTGAATAAGGAAACTAGCGACAGTTTCCTTTTTCGCATTAGGAATCGGCTTAGCTAGTACGAACTTAGTTAATTCGTCAATAGCGACGGCTATGTATTTATTACCTCTTGGGGTAATCGGCAAGGGTCCTTTTAAATCGACTTGTACTCGGAACCATGGAGCTCCGATAGCTATCTGTTGTAGCTTACCCGGCGGTGCTTTCCGTTCGGTTTTACGGTGTTGGCACAAATAACAATTGCGTACGTACTTATCGATATCGGCAACCATGCCGTCCCAATTATAACAAAGCGCAATCGCTTGGTACGTCTTCAGTGGACCCAAATGTCCACTAGCCGGTGTATCGTGCATAGCATGCATTATATCGACACGCATATGGTTCGGCACGACGAACCGTCGATCAAGGCGGCCGTCTTTTTCGGTTAATCGGTACAGAACGCCATTCCATAACTCAAAGTATGGATCGCGCTTGATTAAGTGCGTACTTTCGGCTCGGCCCTCAAGGGCATGAATACGTTTTTCGATTACAGGATCCTTTTCCTGTTCGGTTCGATAATACTTGAAATTATCTTCGACTTCGTCATGTTCGGCTGGGTCGGTGATAGTGACGACTCGAATGGTCGGAGTAATAAACTTCCGATCTTTCATTTCATCCCAGTCGTCATCGTCGGCTGTTTCGACCGGCGGTCCGACTGGATGTCGGCTTAAAGCGTCGGCATTATCGCATTGTTTACCCGGCCGATACTGAATAGTCATCTTGTGACTACTCAGCTAAAGTGCCCAACGGGTCAGACGCCCGTTCAAGCCTTCCTTCCTCGACACAGAGCGTAACAAGTTTGTTAGCGCTTGATGATCGGTTTGCACATAAACATGTGAGTATTTGATGAAGTGTCGGAACTTACGGCATGCAAATACCACGGCCATACATTCCAATTCGGTGATGGGATATTTGCGTTCGGCATCGGTTAGGAGCTTGCTAGCGTAAACGATCGGATGACCATCCTGATGTAGGATAGCTCCTATTCCTATCGTACTAGCGTCGCACTAGATAACTGTCGGCTTATTTGGGTCAAACTTGACCAAAACCGGCGCATTAATCAATGCATTTTTTAGATCGACAAATTCGGCATCATGTTCGGCTGTCCACTTATTCTTAACATCGATTTCGCCCTTTAGCAAGCCATACATGGCTCGAGTTCGGCTGGCAAAGTCCTTAACGAACTTGCGGTAGTAGTTGCATAAACCGAGAAAAGATCGAAGATCCTTCTCAGTTTGCGGCTTCGCAAACTGTTGAATCGCGGAGATTTTCTCCGGATCGGTTTTGATTCCGGCTTTAGACACTATGTGTCCAAGGAAATGCAACTCGGTTTCACCGACATGGCACTTGCTCGGCTTAAGCGTGAAGCCGACCTTTACGAGGCATTCAAACATTAGTCGGATTTTACGAATCAAGTCGTCGAAATCCTTAGCGGCTACAATAATATCGTCTAAGTACGCAAAGATATTCTCATTGCGTACTCCCACAAGAGCCTTATTCATAGTCTCTTGGAATGTTGCCGGCCCATTGCACACACCAAAGGGCATGCGCAAAAATTCAAAAAGACCGTCTTGCGTGATAAACGCAGTCTTTTCGATTAAATCTTCGGCCATTTGTATCTGCCAGAACCCGGCATTACAATCGACACCTACATAATATTCATTATCGGCCACGGATCGAAGTAATGCATCCGGTGACGGCAAAGGATAATTATTCTTTTTCGTTGCGTGGTTCAACTTTATATAGTTGACACAAAAACGCGTACCGATAGTACCGTCTGGATTCTTCTTAGAAGCCAGCACGGCTGGGAAACACCAGTTACTATTTGATCGGCGAATAATTCCTTTTTCGAGCATTTCTTTAACATGCTCTTCGATTATCTCCCAACCTCGCCAAGAGGTACGGTGCGGCTTACATTTAATCGGCGGGGAATCACCCGTATCGATGTGATGTTTTACAATTGTAACATCACCAAAAGGTCGGCGTTTAGTGGCAAATAGATCAAGATATTCAAGAAATACTTCCTTGATCTTCGCTATTTGTTCGGCTGTTAGCTTAGAATTAATCTTAAGCGTATCGACGGCTTCTCGGATTTCTTGTTGTTCTTCCGGCGTTCGTTCGGCTAGTTTGACGGAATTAATACAGATCTCATCATCTTCTATCTCTTCGTACGGCTCGAGGTAACCGATGAATTGACCTTTCTTAATCGACTTTCGACTATTATGGAAACTGAACAATCCCAGTTCAAATTTCCCATTAGCTGGTCTTACGACACCTTCGATCGGCTTAATATGCCTCTCCATGTAAACATGTGGGCTCGGCAAGAACAGAAACTTATCGGTCGAAAATTCTTCAGTTGGGTCGAATCGTGCTACTACTGCAGCCATATTTATACCAGGATTGATTAGAATTTTATCGGTAGCGAACACCTTAATCGATTGGAGGCGTGGGCTACGAGATGTAGATTCAGTAGTAGGCGACTCAGAAAATTCCCAAGTCTTATCAGTAGCTGTGGGATCAGTTGACTGATCAGGTTCAGCTGATTCCCTAATAATCGGCGTAGATTCAGTATTTACTACCGGCTCTACATTTGCAATGATTAGATTTGATGCATCAAATGATTGTATATGAGATAGGGTTCCATTAGGGCTTGGTATATTTTCGACTACGGTATCGGCATGATTCGGCTCGTTCGGCTCAACATTCGCCTCGTTACATGCGACATCATTGTTCGGCTTTGATTGCGGTTTACATTCTATAGTCGGCTCGTCTTTACTAAACTCCATTACGGACGCCATTGGGTTAAAATGTGCCCGAGGCGCTCGGTTAGCTTTAATCATGCCTTCCGCTTCGGGAGGCGTATTATTCGGCTTATATTTCGGCTTAAGCTGATACGGCAACTGTACGGCTGACTCTAGTTTTACTGTAGTCATTTTTTCTAAGTCATCTCGTAATGCCTATGGTACGTCGTATTTGAAGTACTCAAATGCTTCCTTCAGCTTCTTCTGTTTCTCTAGCATCAAGATATATTCATCTCTGAATGCTGAATCGAGATTGTTGATAAGCTGTTCGGCTTCTTCAGGACTTATGCCTGTAATCGGCGTGCTATCATCCGCTAGGACAAGAATATCTTGTCGAGTTTTATGAAATAATTTCGCTAGTCCCCGTACTTCGGAAACAAAAACTTGATATTCTTGCCATAATTTAGCAAACGACTTTCTCGGCGGCGGTAGTTTAATGTTCGTTTTGCTCGTGGCCCTTGCCACGGGTATCGGAACAATTTCGGCTTTAGGGGTCGGCTCTTTAGAGATATCAATAGCATTAATAGTT